AAGAGAATGTCCCAAACCTGCTGTCATTGGTGGTGCCAAATGGTTCACGTATTCGGAGGTGAGGTCAATGCATGACGACGGTCTTCGTTGATGACTGAGAAGACTATTCGATTCACGTAGAAGTCGATGCATCATTGGGAAGTCACGAAGTCGTTCCGTGCTCAACCCTTCCTACAAGATTACAATTCAAATAAATTGTGCAATTGCAGATTATACGTTTGAACCAAGGAAAATGGCTACCTACCTCATCTATGAAGTAATCGTGTGTGGCCGACGCTGGAGGGAATGCCGGTTGTCCGCCGGCAGCTTCGGCAGCTAATGGTCCCATGCCGATGGTTTGGACCACACTTGGCTGAAATAACTCACATTTGAGATGGTTTCGAACGAATTTCGGGGAATTAGGGTAAAATAGCATTACCTGTAGATGCAAATGATTCATCTGAGTATTTGCGTTTCGTTGAATATCAAGAGCTCTCTCATAAGGAGGTGGATCTCTAGTTTTACCTCGAGAAGCTGGCTGTGTGACGCTGGGCAGCACTGAGCCGTTTGGCACTTCTTCATTAGGGCTCTGGAAATCCTAACATGGTAAACATTGAGGGGTGAACCCATGCGAGTCAAAAATAACCCAAAACCTACAGTTCGATATCCGTTGATGACATGATAGTGGGCAGGCATTGAATGAACCCTGTTGATCACTCCGTTCGAGGATTTCTTCGTAAACAAACGACCACCATTCGCAGTTATTTGCGAATCGAGCAGAGCTACCGCTACGGATGGATGTCCCCAAAGCTGAAATTTGCACATTTATAAACCTTTTTTGTTGAAAAAAAATCCGACTAACGAAAACCAAAGAAAACTCGCAAACTTACATCAGAGTCAATCTTTGGCTCACTTCTTGCTTGTCCAGAAGCACTCAGCCTCTGCATTTGTTGATCGGCAGCACACCATCTAAGCGCTGGAGCAGTTATCAAATTTCTAAAATTATGCTTTTAAATACTACAGAAAATTCATAAAAGAATAGAATGTTTAATGGGGAAAAGCTATTTACAAAGCAAACTTCCCCACTGTCAAAATCACGCACACG